TGAGAGAGAGATGTGGGAGCCAGCTGTATGCCATCTAACAATTATGCCAGCTGTATGTTGCCATCTACCCTGACCCTCTGAACTGTACTTAAACCAGGCTCCTTGGAGTTCAGCAAGACCAGTACCAGAAACGTCACTGCTGGTTAACTTTCATTTCTGTTTTGTATTTATGTACTGTACTTAAGCCTGGGGGATGCGGGTGGTGCTGTGGTCTAAACCACAGAGCCTAGGGCTTGCCGATCAGAAGGTTGGCGGTTCGAATCCCCGCTACGGGGTGAGCTCCCGTTGCTCGGTCCCTGCTCCTGCCAACCTAGCAGTTAGAAATCACGCCAGTGCAAGTAGATAAATAGGTACCGCTCCAGTGGGAAGGTAAACGGTGTTTCCGTGCGCTGCTCTGGTTTGCCAGAAGTGGCTTAGTCATGCTGGCCACATGACCCGGAAGCTGTACGCCGGCTCCCTTGGCCAATAAAGCGAGATGAGCGCTGCAACCCCAGAGTCGTTCATGACTGGACCTAACGGTCAGGGGTCCCTTAAGCCTGGATTGTTGTTTTTCTTCTTTGTAATACTGAATTTATTCTGTTTGCAAAATAGATTTTTGTTATTTTGAATTTACAGCTGTATTTAGTATATTTGTATTTCCAGTGTTCTCTGTTTCGATGTTTTGTGCTTAGCCATTTTGGGCACAGCTCCTTGTGGATGAGTGGCATATAAGTAAAATCAATCGATTGATTAAGATACAAAGGTAATCCTAGAATGTGTCCTTTTACTGAGGTGAGGAATAACCAATTTTGCATCCTTCAGCTATGGCTGGGCTAAAGTTCCCATCACCTTTGATCACAGGCCATGCTGTCTGGGACTGATGGGAGATGGAGTGTAACAGTGCATGTGCTCCTTGACTTAGGTCACCATTTGAGGCATGTCTCAAAGGATCCAGCCTTAGAAATTAGGCAGATATAGTAGGAGTTGACAAATGGGTCAGTTTTGGTTTCTCTTCATTCCTCAGTTTTCCAGTCTTAAATTCAGTTTGACCCATTTCTGCAGCAGTTTTCAATTTTAAAAAGTGAAATATTGTATACTTTTATTACTTCCCTGTCTGTCAATCCATCAAGTTGGCACCCTCCCATCTAAGCATGGACAATTGTGGCACAATGCTCTTGTGGCACAATACACGGGCTCTCCCTTTTTGGGGTGGGGGTTTGTATTGCTTTTTGTTACAAATATCTATTGATATATTAGTATAATGTTGATGCTGATCTTTGGAAAACTGGATTTATAACTTAAAAACAAATCCACAGGAATTTGTACTGATTTTGTCTTCATTATTTTGCTTAATATACACATTTCTGCAAGCAAGTTCCCCCAATATACTGAATTCTTTTGTGTTCGTTCCCCAACACACACTGTTTTCATGGATTTTCTTATTGGAGAGCTACTTTTCAAAACTTGGGAGATCTGTGAATTGTTAAGGCTATTTCTTTTTCAGTTCAAATATTGTTTTGGAAAGGTTTGATTTGTTAAGTTTCCATTAAAATATGTATGAAAATACCACCACCACCCTCCAGTTGCTAACATTGGTAGAGGGTCTTCTCTGTGTTGGCTCCCTGATTAAGGAATACCCTCCTGTTTAGCACCAACACTTCTAATTTTCAGATTCGAAGCATTTGGAAACTATAGACATGACCTTTTCATCATCTTTCAGCTCCCAGTTTTGGGGCAGTGGCTTCTACTGGGCTTCATTTGCTGCCTTGGATGTTCCATAGATGAATTATTCTAAAGAATGTGTGGGGAACCTGTAGTCCTCCAGATATTGTTGGACTCCAGCTCCCATCATTTCTGATCATTGGCAGTGCTGGCTGGGGCTGATGGGAGTTGAGATCCAGCAACATCTAGAGAGCTAAATGTTCTCTATCCCTGTTTCAAGGTATGTGGAGTCAGTTTGACATGGTTTTTATTTTGGGCTGCAAGCTGCCTTGAAACACTTACGATGGAAAAGTGAGAGATAGGCTGGATCTGGACACATCAAAGAAGTGATTCAGTTATACACATTGTAAACTTCATATGGGGAAATCCCATTGGTGAAAAACGGGAATCCACAGTGTCATCTGGTGTCACATAACACATATAAAGCGTTTTCGCTTTACGAATGTAAAAGGTAAAGGTACCCCTGACCATTAGGTCCAGTCGTGGACGACTCTGGGGTTGTGACGCTCATCTTGCTCTATGCTCTATAGGCTGAGGGAGCTGGCGTTTGTCCGCAGACCGCTTCTGGGTCATGTGGCCAGCATGGCTAAGCTGTTGCTGGCAAACCAGAGCAGTGCACGGAAATGCCGATTACCTTCCCACCAGAGTGGTACCTATTTATCTACTTGCACTTGATGTGCTTTTGAACTGCTAAGTGGGCAGGAGCTCCTATTTTATGTGAATAGCAACCCCGAAGAAGAGGACCTGTTTTGTATTCTGAAGGTCCCTAGTTCAGTTCCTGATATCTCCACATTCAGCTGAAGGAAACACTCATATTAGGGGTTGACCAACTGTTTTTCACTGCTGAAGCCTGCATTAATTCAGGGGCAATCTGTTGAAGGTCAGTAGTGAAGAGGGAACAGCCCAAAGTGGGTGGGGCAACCCCCTTTTTCCTTCTGATGCCCACATCTGTCTCCCATCCCCTCTTCCCCTGTGTGTCTCAAATGGGATAAGAACATAAGAATAGGTGCAGTAAACTTAAAGAAAATGTTATGAAAATGATGCATAGGTGGTATTTAACACCAGTTAAATTGGCTAAAAGGTATAGAACAAAAAATGAATGTTGGAAATGTAAAGAAAAGGAGGGTACTTTTTACAACACGTGGTGGACATGTAAAGAGGTAAGAGCTTTCTGGGAAATGATATATAATGAGTTAAAGAAAATGTTTAAAAACATTTGTATTAAACAAAAACACAGAAGCTTTCTTACTGGGTATAGTGGGTAAAGAAACAAGATAAAAGAAAATTCTTATATGCAACTACTGCAGCAAGAATTTTGTTAGCCCAAAGATGGAAACAAAAGAAGAGTGGCAGATGACATTGATGGACTTTGCAGAACTGGCGAAACTGGCAGGAAGAATCTGCAACCAGCGAGACCAAGTGTTCCAAAAAGACTGGAATAAATAAGATAATAATAAGACTGGAATAAATTTATATTACATTTGAAAGACAACTGTAAACAATTGTCATCACTAGGCAGGGTTATCTGAAGACTCGTAAGATTAAATTGCTACCTATCCAGGATGAGAAACTCAATATATTTAGTTATGATATAACAAGAATAGGAAAGGGAATGAAATGCTAAGATGAAAAAATTAATTTTGAAAACTGATAGACGGGAGGGAGGGGCGTTGTTAAGCTCAATTGAGCCAAAGAGATATAATAACAGGATATAATGTTATGTGATGTGATTATATGTAAAACAAATAAAAATTATTATGGGGAAAAAAGAACACAAGAATAGGCTGCTGGATCAAGACAATGTCCCATCTAGTCCAGCATCTGGTTTTCACATTACCAAATAATGGTGGGAAACTCTTCTTTCCTGTGGCTTCCAGCAATTGGCCTTACTGCCTGCAGCTGTGGAGACATGCTATCATGCTAGCAGCCATTCATAACCTCACCCTCCATGAGTTTGCCCAGTCCTCTTTTAAAGCCATCCAAATTGGGAGCGTGTTCCATAGTTTAATGCATGCTGCATGAAGAAGCACTTTCTTTTATGTATCATTAATCTTCCAACATTCAGCTCCATTGGCTGTCCGTGAATTCCAGTGTAATGGGAGATGCTGAAATAACCAAGAGGAATAACCAAATATGCCGCGATATTAGAAGTCGGGGGGGGGGGAGAGAGATTCAGGGCCATATTCTGGGTAATAAAGGATACTTTAAGTAAAAGCTATCTATACCTTTCATAGACAGACATTTTAATGCTGAGGTTTAAAATATACCATATGAGGTCATCTGTTCGAAGACCTCCGCTTCCAACGCCTTAAAAATCGGGGAGGGGAGGGGGGAGAATCCTGATCAATAAATCATAATTGACTAAATGTCAACATTTCAAAGTAATGGGGTATTGATTTTCTTAAGGGTGTGTTGTAGAAAATCCCTCTAAAGTTTTCTGAAACAAAGGAAATATATATCCACAGATACCTTGAGTTAAGCTACTGCTTCCCCCCCTTCTTTTATATATATATATATTTTTACAAAAGCTTTTCTGTACAACACCAGAATCAATAGTATTCTTTTTCACTGAAAGCCAACAGTGGTATTTTGTGTGATCACCTGAATTCCAATCTAAGGATGGGGGTTGCCATGAATTAATCACACCTGGGGTGAAAAATGCCGGCTGGGCAAAAATGTATATATGTCTCAAGTGTAGAGTTGCTGAATCCTTTGCGAGCGACTTAAGAAGATATGAAAAAGGGAAAACCCTTTCCCTTTTCTGCAACCCTTTCCTTTTTACCATTAAGAAGCTCTTTCACCCTTTTAAAAATACAGGAAAGGCCAGCTGAGTGATGGAGCTCCATGGGGTGGAGTTTAATTTCTTAAGAAGAATGACAGAAGTCGAAAAAAGAGATGGGTTATGCTTTCCTGGCCCTACCATTAGACAGAGAGGTGTGGGGGACAACAGACCATCCTTCCATGCTGGCAACCTTGAGCAATTCCCATCCTCCTGGGGTAGCACCCTAGCAGAGCATGGTTCCTACTTTAAAGAGGATAGCCCTCTGTATGAAGGTGTCCTTTATGCAAAGTTCTATCCAGTCCAAGTCTGGTTTAAAGATAAAACACCCTAAGAAGGGAGAACAGGCATGGCCTTGAAGTTGCCCATCAATAGTGAGCTCCTAAGCAACAGACTGAGCAAGCATACAGTGTGGGATGTAATCCACTGGGAGCAGTCAAATGCAACATTCCTTGTTTTCCTAGAGTAGACATGCAGGGGAATGTTTGGTCCAGCCAGTCGAAACTTCCTGTTCCTCCTGGCCTGGAGCATCCTTCCTCTTGCATGCGACTAGTAGGCGTGTGTGACCTTTCCAGACCTGGTAAAAGGCCAAGGTGTGCTGCCACTCTCTCTCTTTTCCATCTTCCTTTCGTCCTGCGAACTTCCTGGAATGAACTGCTGGTTGCCAGGTCATCTCCCTTATGGGGTAAACCTGTTTTTTTATGTTTGTAACTTTAAGCCTAAAGCCTGCCTTCAGGGATCACACTGTGCTCTCCCTGATCGTGAGTCAACTTTCTGTTTATTGCTTATGAATAAGACTGTGGTGTCTTTATTCTTTTAGGAGGGATTCAAGGGGTCTTACCAGGAAAATATTAGAACACATTTCAACCTGGACAAGCCAGATTGAATTGTGTATTATCTTAAGAAACTCACACGAGTTTGCAACTAGTTTTCTGCTGTGTAAAGGGGAATGCACTCTGTCCTCTCCTGCCACCCTCAACATTCCTAGAGTCTAGAATTCTCTGATGTCATCAGAAGAGTAAGCCGTTTTTTTCAGTTAGGTGTGTTGTCAACTACAGAGGATGAGCAGCCTTGGGAGCCTCTTGGGGATATGGAAGGATTCAAAGGACTGAATCTATGAAGGAGAGCTACTTACTCTGAGATGGGGGAACCTTCGGGCAAAGGCCAGCAGTGAAGAGATGCTGCTGGCCACCAGGTTTTTAGGCTCCCCACTTTCCCCAAGGGTGTATCCTCGGAGGTCCTGTGCAAGGAAAGAGCGTCGCAGAGTCAGGGGCCAGTCTGGGCCAAAGCGGCAGGGCAGACTCAAGTGTCTAAGCACCCAGCAAGTAGCGGTGACTGTATAAGTGCCAGTTTCTATTCTGATGACTTCAAAAATGGGACAAATGGGGGGCCAAACAGGACAGGGGACTCCATGCTCCAGAAATAGGACAGTCCATTAGGTAAGGGATGGGAAGAAGAAGAGTCTGGATTTGATATCCCGCTTTATCACTACCCGAAGGAGTCTCAAAGCGGCTAGCATTCTCCTTTCCCTTCTTCCCCCACAACAAACACTCTGTGAGGTGAGTGGGGCTGAGAGACTTCAGAGAAGTGTGACTAGCCCAAGGTCACCCAGCAGCTGCATGTGGAGGAGCGGAGACGCGAACCCCTTTCACCAGATTACGAGTCCACCGCTCTTAACCACTACACCACACTGGCTCTCTAATGGGGGCCCAAACCTCTCCTGATGCCATCGGGACACTTACACTGAGAAGCTGGAGGAGAGTGCCAGGATTGGGGGCTTCCATAAGGAGACTGCCCAGCAGGAGCCAGAAGTGCCGCTTCAGTTCCTGCAGGAAAAGAGAGAAGAGAGTTTGAATGCTGGGTTGGATTCTCCAAGTGTGTGATGAAGAAGAAGAAAGAGTCTGCGAAGGGAAGTCAAAACAAAGGACATACTTCTCTGTCTTCCTCCTTCTTGGCCCCTTTCAGCACAGCCTCCAATTTCCTGTTCAGGATCGCACTGATCATATCACAGCTGAATTTGGGCCTCATCGTGCTGCAGAGATGAAGGCGTTAGACGCTGCCTCCTCCATGTCTACCTTGCCCCCTTCTCCCTCCTGCCTGCTCTTCCCCACCCGGAGCTCCCCCCCCCCAAAACCCCTAGAAGGGTCCTCCAAGCATCAAGGTGTCCCAGAAGAGAAGCAGAACATGAGAAAGGTGGTGGAGTATTCCTTGGAGCCAGAGAGACCCCCAGGAAGGGGGAGAAGGCCGGTGGCATTGGGCAGTGGGAGAGATGCAAAATAAATGTAAATGATGAGAGGGGAGAGAAAGGGGCAAGGCAGGGAAAGTGTGTGGAGGAGCTGAGCTCTCTGGAGAAGACTGGCCGGGTCGATTTCCAGAGAGTCAAGGCTGTGCAGGGGACCCCAGGACTCCACCCACCGCCCCCCAGGAGACCAAGAGAAAGGGAAGGAATCCTACTTACAGCCTGCCCATTTCTTCCAGGAAAAATTCCCACCCTCCTCTCTAAACTAGCTAACTAGCTAAAATGTCCACCCAAGCCTAACTCTGACCCCAACCCTAAGCCTAACCTCCGCCCTAACCCTGCACTTAACCCTAACTACTCCGCTATGTACAAAATAGATATATACAAAGTATATACAAAAAAGCACAAATGTGCACAAAATAAAAAAGTAAAAAATAAAGAACAAAAATTAAAATATTAAAATAAAGAGCAATACAATAAAATAAAATAAAAGTGTTAAAATAAAAAAGTAAAATAAAATGAATCAAATAATCAAGAAACTGGAAAAATAACAATAAACCATCTTCTCCAACCACCACCAACTCCTCTCTCCTCCGCTCGCCTCACTACTAACCCACAATGGCTGCCTGCAAGTCAGGGGCTTTTAAGGGAGAAGCAAGAGATGTCACTAAGGAGGGCAGGTCCTTGTCACCGTGGCAACCCCCCACCCCCACCTGGCTGCTCCTGAGTAGTGATGCTCCTCTGTCTTGAAGGCACCTGCTGTTCTGCCTGCAGCTGGGCTGCATCTTCATTACACATCCTTCTTCCTGCAGCCCCATTCCCAAAGGGAGACCATCCCCACGTCCTTCCAGGCAGGCTGTGATGGCCTGGGACTCGGGCTCGGACTCGGAACCAGAGGAGTCTCAGTCTGCACCAGATTCTTTGCCTCAGGCATCACCTGAACCAAGTCTGGGACCTGATCCTGAAGAGCCCCAGTCTGCACAGGTTCCCCTGCAACAAACACCAGCTGGGCCAAGTCAGGAGCCTGAGCCTGCCCTGGCTCCAGATGTGGGGATTACCTCATTGCCTTCAGATGGGCCATCACTTACAGCTGTTCCACTACCGGTTGGGTCAGGGGAGACTGAGGCGGCCTCTGGGTCTAGTAACCCACCAATGTCTCCCGAGCTGCATAGACTAAGGTCTGAGAGAAGAAGAGACCTCTCTCAGGAGGAGTGCTCGCCTTCGGGAGAAACAGGGAGGTGAGTCGCCGGGGGATCAGGACCGGCCGCTACCCTGACAAAGATAAAAGGCTGTCGGACCCCGCCCCAGGTTGCGGGAGCAACATTGCTGTATGCTAGATCCTGCCCCTGTCCTTGCCTGGTTTCCTGCCTTGGCCCTGTTGGACTGACTCCTAACAGAACCTTCGGATTCTGGACTGGACCTGGACTGCGTTTCATGGGTTACCCCTGCACCCAGCACACAGGCTAGCGGTCTCCATAGAGCAGGATTGGACCATCTGCTTTGCATGTAGGTCTTCTGTCCTGGGCGGCATCTCTGGGGGCTGGGAATGTCGTCGTCCATGTCTAAAACCCTGGAGAGCTGCTACCGGTCTGTGCAGGCGATGCTGAGGTAGATGGGTCACACGACCGACTCTGTCCAAGGCAGCTTCCTAGAAATATTCCGTTTAAGTTCTTTAGCTGAAGAGGAGCAAGCTAACTTCTGCACAAGACTGACCATCGATTCCTTTCTTCAAGAGACAATCTGGAAAAGTCCCTGTTTAATATACAAGAAAGCCATAGGCCAAGGACCCACCCCCACCCCACCCTGGTGGACTAGATGACCCCTGGGGTCCCTTTCACCTCTACCATTCTATGGTATCAACTGCAGCAGACCTTCCAAATTTCAAAGGGGGGCTTTGGAGCATCTGAAGGCAGTGGCACCTTCTCCTGAGTTCCTGCACAAGCCTCAGCTCACCCATTCAGGCTGCAACCCCTCTCTTGTTGTCCCCCAGACACAGCAAGGAGTATTCCCTGAATATGGAAGCTCTCCATTCATTTTATTTTTAAATTTATTGTATTTATATAGAAGGTGCTATAAGAATCCTAAGGTCTCAAATCTATAAAATACATGTTCATAAATGTACAAGGAAAACACCTACGTAAGTACATATATACCACGTGTCTGAAATAGTACAGGAGAACAATCCTGAAGCCATTATGACTCTCCCAATGACCTCAAATATTCCTCTGCAGTAAGGGAGGCAAGTGGCAGCCTTCCCATTGTCTTTGTGCTGACAAATCCTGTCTGAAGGGCATATTTATGTATGAATAGGCTGAGCCTGTCACCTGGATTCAGGAACTAAAGTATTTACCATCACAAAAGAATGGCCAGCCTACCCAGGTAATGCAGTCAGTGACCATTATCAGGTATCCTGGCAGGCAGGATTTCTGCTGTAGACCGTCTCCTCCTGTGATGTATGTATGATGTTGGGGGGGGGGTCTTGGGCTACTGGGTGGGCAATCAAAAGTCTATACAAGGGCTTGCACACCATTGTTTGGGTTTCCTCCTCCCTCCTGCGTGTGGTGAGTGGGGACCCTGTTGCAACAGTTTAATAAAGATCAGGCTTACTAGCCACTTTGCTTCTCAATATACTCTGGTTGGCCTCTGTTATTTTCTCCTACTGATAGGGAACCTAATTAAGGACTCTATACAGGCTCTTGGATACCCCATAAGGGAAAAGGAGCAGTTTTTTCTTAAAACAAAAGTAAAGATAAAAGTTAAAGTACCCCTGGATGGTTAAGTCCTGTGGCATTTGCCCGTTCATTTGAAAATGTCTGTACAGGGGGAGAGAAAGGGTTAATAGGTAGACCAATAGAAAAGCCAGAGGCGGAGCCTACTTGTTTATAAAAGGGCTTAGCCTGAGGTTGGTAGTTAGTTAGTTAGTTAGTTAGTTAGGAAAGGCAGTTGGGAAAGCAGTTGGCAGACAGTTGGAAATAGAGACAGTTAGTGCAGTTGGTTCTTGTGTGAGGGGAGGTAGAAGAGTTAGAGACAGAATAAAATAAGACTAAGAGGGTAAAGAGTAACAATGTTTTGAATGCAGATAAAGTTTATTTGTGTTTGCAATAAACTACAATCTTCATTGTCAACTTAAGAACCTGACTGAGACTAAGTGATTTACCGGGGAGGACCTGGTTGGTGGCAGTGGATTAGTGGTCAATAGTCCGTGAGATGACCGGGGCCTCCGTACGAATGCCACAAGTCCAGTCAAAGGTGACTATGGGGTTGTGGCGTTCATCTTGCTTTCAGGCCAAGGGAGCTGGCATTTGTCCACAGACAGTCTCTGGGCCATGTGGCCAGCAGGACTAAACCGCTTCTGGGACAACGGGACACCGTGATGGAAGCCGGAGCACACAGAAACGCCATTTACCATCCCGCCACAGAAATGCCTATTTATCTACTTGCACTGGCGTGCTTTCGAACTGCTAGGTGGGCAGGAGCTGGGAGAGAGCAACAGGAGCTCACCCCGTCGCAGGGATTTGAACCGCCAGCCTTCCAATCGGCAAGCCTAAGAGGCTCAGTGGTTTAGACCACAGTGCCACACGCGTTACCTTACCTTACCTTAGCTTGATCTTCCACCTTGGTCTTCCAGTGATCTCAACGTGGCTTACATGATTTCCCTCCTCCCCATTTCCTTCTCGCAATGACCCTGCAGGGCAGGTGAGGCTGACTCCAAAGGCAGCCAGTGAGCTTCATGGCTGAGTGGGAATTCGAACCCAGAGGGCATCAGAGGAAGGAGGGAAGGAAAGAGGGACCGGGGCCAGTGTTGCCCACGGCACCTCTGAGCATCATTCAAGGCACCCCAGGGTGCCACAGCACTCTGCTTGAAAACCACTGGCTTAGATAATTCTTGAACTGCAGAATCGGAAGGGACCTTGGGGTCATCTAGCCCAACCTCCTGCTCCTGCACCTCCAACCTTGCTCCTATATCCTTTGCAGGGGGTTGGACTAAATGGCCTCTGGGGTCCCTTCCAACTCTACGATTCTATGAATCTATGATCCTCCTTTGAGCCCTCCTCCTCTCCCTCTTTTATCAAGGAACCTCCCGAGGAAGACTCTGCTCTCTCTTCCTCCTGCAGCCTCATTAATAATAATATTTATTATTTATTTATACCCTGCCCTCCCCAGCTGAGACCAGGCTCAGGCTAACACCAAATACATAATACATTAAAAAACACAAAATCAAATGATTAGTTTAAAATACAATTCAAATCGCATTTAAAATCAAAATAAAATTAAGTGGGAACCCACAAATCACACTATAGGGGTAAGGAATATTAAATATTCATCAGACCCGGCCAATCCGTGCTGGTCCCATATGGGCCGATAGAAAGAGCCAAGGAGGCCACTTACATACAGGGTCCCATAGAAAGAAGGGGGTCAGACTGGGCCCAGACCAAAGGCCTGGCGGAACAACTCCATCTTACAGGCCCTGCGGAAAGATGTCAAATCCCACAGGGCCCTTGTCTCTTCCGACAGAGCCTTCCACCAGACTGGGGCCAGGGCTGAAAAGGCTCTGGCCCTGATCGAGGCCAGTCTAACCTCCTTGAGGCCCAGGACCTCCAAAGTATTATTTTTTGTGGACCATAAGGTCCTCCATGGGATATACTAGGAGAGGCAGACCCATAAGTACAAGGGTCCGAGGCCTCATTGCTAGCCCCACTTGCCCCCTGCATCTCCACCCCAGCACCTGACCCACCAGTGCCAAGGTGAGGGCCCTGCCTTTGATGCTTTAGTTGAGATTCCTGCCTTGCAGGGGATTGGACTAAATGACTCAGGGAGGGGGGCTTACCTCTCTATCCCGGCATTGCATGAATGCCACATCAAGCTGGCAACCGTGATTTTTGAATGCTGCCTATCTGGGACGGCTGGCAGTCTCGCCTAGTCACTTCTCTCCCAACCTGTTGACTGAGAATGGCCTCTTCCTATGCAAGCAGGCAAAGGGAGCCAGCCCCAGACTGGGCTCCCTGAATGTGTCATCTTTGTGCACGATCTCCTCTGCTCATATCAAGAATGGTGGTCCTAAGGAAGTAGAAGCAGACAGACCACACCACTCCTCAGACCCTTTCTAAGTAAAAAGACAGGCAGGTGGGCTTAAAGACTGGCTCTGGTGGGGGAAAGGTCATCACCACACATTGTGGTGGCAAATTCCATCATTTTGACCAGGCTGGTCTATTAGGGCATATGGGGCACTGCCCCCTCCTACCTCTGCTTTGATTTCTCCAAGCCCACTGGGTCTTAGCAACCAGTCCAAGCTGCACCTAGCTGTCTACTTTCTCCTCCTTAGTCTCACTGTTGTCCCTTGTAGAACCCCTCAGAGAAGAGGATGGGGACAAAACTACAACTAGTTGAGTCTGCTTGCAAGTTGCTCTGGCTCTGCCTACTATTGACCTCCCTGCCTTCTGGCCTATCAGTCCCCAAGGGCACCAGCCACCACTATGCAATGTGTGACAACCCCTTCCA